TTAAATTTCTCATTTCTTATTTGTAATTCTATACATAAGGGTTTAATATATAATTATGTAAACAAGGGCGCCCATAAACATTAAAACAAATAAATAATAAGTTTTGGAAATAAATTTACAAATAAAGTTAAACTTTATTAGGGAAATAATAAGTTTTGGAAGTATATTTAAAGACCAAATTAAAACAATATATTATTAAAAAACTTTAACATAATATCAATATTAATTTTTTGGAAATAAGCTACTCTATTATGATAAACTATGTTAAAAATAGGGTAAGCCATCTTCTGGTAAATAACATGTTTCTTAAATGTGTGTTTACTTTTTGACTTGTGTCACTTAACAAACACATATCGACTGCCCCAACGAAAAGGGTCGTATCTCGTTTATGCAACTTTTCAGGATGAACCAAACAAACATTCAAATTTAAATTCTTATTCTGTTTTTAACATATCAGTTTGAAAATTTGGATACATTTTATAGTATGTTATCCAAATTTTCCAAGTTAAAAACAGAATAAGAATTTAAATTTGGATGTTTGTTTGGTTCATCCTGAAAAGTTACAAAAAACTAGGTACGACCCTTTTCGTTGGGGTAGTCGATGTGTAAATTTCAGTTTTCTTTACTGTTTGTACATTTAGCTGTCGTTACATTATTTTACGCCTTTCGTCTCATTGTGCACTAACATTTTTATACTACACATGACACATATTACAGTAGTATTCTAATTTATGCCACTTTGAACTTAAGTAATCACACTTAGCTTAGTCTTCACTTCCTCATCGTCACATAATATCTATATTTTCCAAACTAAGTTGTTCAGTACCTCATAGAGTTTCTCAGGGAATCAACCCCGTGTAAACTCAATTTACCTAAGAGTACTTACATACACCAGCACTTTGAAAAAAAATGATTAAATTAAAATCTAAAATTTATAATTCAAAAAATTTTTAGTAATAATTAATAAAAGCCCAATCCCACTTAATATTATAAAAAAAAATGTATAGATTAACTAAAACAGTATCTATATATTTCATTTGTAAAATATCGTGTATTGTTAAAGTTTTCGACGAAATATTACCGGGGGATTTAGCTTTCAACCCCCCTAACCTCTGAATTTTGGGTATGAAAGTCGAAAGTTTGATTGTACAACTTTTTGTTACTTAGATTTGGTTTCAAAACCGAAGAGCAAGGCTGCGTAATGATTTGAATCTACAAAATTACCACAACAAGTTGCAGAACCGGCGAATGAATAATATTGAAGCGCAAGCCGATTTAAGAGGTAACCTCGTCAACATTTAATTTAAATAATTTCAATAAAATAATTATGTTAACTAAAATTTTACCTTGTATAGAACATCAAGCACTGTATGGAGCCCATTTTAACGAAACCAGTCATGGTACTATCAATTTAAGACCGGATTTAGAGGTGCAAGAAGAGCAGACAAATATAAGTGTATACTTAAATAACTTCTATGAGCCCAGAAATGTTGAGTATCCAATTTATTTTGCGTTATAATGTATAACCTTTAATCATTTTCTAAGTTAGTTAGTTATTAATATAATTTATAACATTAAACCATACTTAACAATGATTTTTTTGTCTGTAACCGCTGTAACTTATTTTTATGTTATTCATTAATTGTTTACAAAAAGGTGTGATATTTTTTTAAATACAAAACAAAAAAATTGTTATAAAACACTAAGTATTATGATTAATAGTTTTAGTAGTAGGATGAAATGTATGCCTAACTATTTATGTTTTAAAAGTAGCTATCAAAAAAACTAATTTGGGATGGGAGTAAAAAGAATTTCTTATTAAAATTCCCTTATTCAAAAGGGAAGAACATTAACTAGGTTCTTCAGTCGTTTTTTTAGAAAACATTAATTTTACCTTAAACAAGCACTTAAAAAAGTAAAAAAAGCAGTATTCAAATATAAATTTTGAATGTTGGTTTAATAATTTAAAAAAAAACTGACGAGAGAACCTATAAATAAAGATCTCATTATTTTAAATATGATAAAAATGTATTCTACGATTATTATTTAATCAATATTAGAGACTATGCATAGCTATGTTTCGATGCAACTTTTTTTTAAATATCTGTCAAAGATGCTGTGATAGACAGAAAAAAATTCCTAATTACTGAACTAATAATTAGACATCATAGTTAAACCTTTAAATTAAGATTTTGTAACTCCTTAATAAGACTGGAAGTAGTACCTTATATGTACTTTCTAATGTCAAACATGAAACAATTTGTTTCCTTGCCATCAAGAGCATAAACAATATTTTAAATATGTACACTTTTTCCATTTTAACTTTACGTCAGGATAAAACTTTTTTAAAAATCAACCAATTACTTTTGAATTTGGGTATCTTTTTCTATAGATATAATATACTATTACCAGTTTACAGAGACAATAATATTAAGCCTTTCATCCAGTGAGGGTTTTATTCTTACTCTTTTGGTTTGGTTTTATGTCTTTAGTTCTAAAATCTAAACTAAAGCTTAATCCAATTGAATACATTAAAAGTTAGAGTATCAATAAAATCATTTGTTATGTCATTTTGTGAAATGTTAGAACACTCAACATTTAAGCATTGTGTGCAACTCAACTTTTTTTTAAATAGTCCCAAATTCATTTAAATATTTTATTTACCTCGAAAAAAATTCCAACATTTGCAAAACTAGAATTACAATAAACTACAAAGGTATATATTAAAATATTCTATCAATAAATACCGTATGTCACAGATCTTAAACGTTTTGTAGTTTAAATTTAATATATTATGATTAATACCTTATTTAGGATTTTGAAGCTTTATTAGAATGTTCTCAGGAAAAGAAGCCAAGTCGAACAAATTTTTAAAGATATAATTCAAAGATATTTTCACTGAGCCAAATTCTTTCTTCATAGCTGACATTATCAAAAGTTGTTTAGGTTTTGTTATAAAAACATATCAGAACGAGATGGAATTACTTTTATGATAATGTATGTGCCTTTTTGGTTAATATCAATCAAGTTCTTTTAAATATAATATAATTCTATGTGTAATAATTACATGAAAGTGTTCAAAATTAAAAAAACATGTTTTGTAGCTCATGGTAGAATAGTAAAAATTAGTTCAGCAGTATGCATAAAGTTGAAGATGCTAGTACATTTTTATTTTCATAGCCAAAAATATGTCTAAAAATATCGTTATTGAAAATAAATTAGGAGAGTAAAAAAAAAACCTCTACTCAAAGTATAAGAATTTTAAATTCTATACCCACTCTAAAAGAAAAAGAAAATCATACATTATAGAAGTCGGTTGCAATTACATTTTGTAATTAGACCTTCTATTCGTCTTTGTCATTGCCGTTGCACCAGTGGAACGAATTTTTAGTGTTGGTAGTGTGGTATAATCTAAAAAAAGACGGAGTATTAATGACAAGAACTAAAATTTAGATTACTTAAATATGATAAATAGTTTTGTACTGCATTTCAAACAGACAACTTTCATGCAAATAATTTCAATTTTAATTATTAAATTAATAAGGTAAAAGTAGATGAAAATTATTTGGTAATGAGGAACCTTTATTGACTATTAGGGAAAAACAGTCAACACCTTTTTATAAATAGATCAAGGGTTAGAGATGGTTAAAATTTTTTTTATTTTAAACAAGCGACACAAAGCATATGACTAAAATTTAATATCAGCTCAAATTTAGGGCGGAAAAACGACCACTTTTTCAGAAGCAATTAAATATGCAACGCTACAACACCGTGTTTGTACTGCCATCAGACAAAGTAAGGTCGTAACACAATAAACAGAACGTTTAAATTAAAATCAAAAAAGCAATAATTGTCGTCACTGTAGCGTAATTTTATACAAAGCAGTTTTATTAAGCGCATTTAATGTATTCTAATATTATTGATAAGCAAACATTCATGTATATTGGATATGCAAAAACAAAGTAGTCACGTTTAGTAATGATATTCATTGCTTAATCTATATTTGAATATACACACTATAAATCAAAGTTCACATTATGAATAAAACTTTTTTCTGTACAGAGAGCTTTTAATTTACAACATTTATTGTAAACTAGTAACTTTTTCTATGAAATATTTGTTGTAAAAGTTTTTCTAGGGGTATTTTTAGAGTGTAACAATTATAATATATTGTCTTGTAAAAGGATACTTCTAAAAAGTATTTTAACCCATTGGTACATTCTGACTAAAACATTAAAAAAAAACGTATTTAAAATAAAGTCTTAAAATAAGACAGAGTTTCCTGATGTACACTTAGGTAGTTGTTTAAGTTTTAAATGCTAACTTTTAGGTATTGTACATATTTTATTTTAACAAACGATCAATTTTTATGATATGGTTTTCAGGTAACATTTTTTCTATAACCCTATTTACCTACCGCAGAAAAAAAGTAAAAGGGATTTTCATTCCCTTAAATTAATATTTCTCCTAGAATAGATTTTAAATAAAACAAAGAGGCCATGAAAAATACAATTTAATTAAATAGACTTTTTTTTGGAACCAAGGCGCAACAAATAATTTTGAGTAAATTAATTTTGGTGTAGTCACTCTCCTACTTTTTTACTCTGCTTTTTCTTATATATTTTCAATATATAAAGGAGAATATATTCAAAAGTATTGAAATGCATGAACAAATATTTTATTACAAGTATTTAAACAGAATCATAATTTTATAGAAGAAACAAGTATAAAATCAATGTATTTGTGGTTAAAAACATTGATCATCAAACTAATTTCAACAAATATGTGTTTCATATTAATCGTTCAGTTGTACCTTTGCATTAAAAAAATTTAGTTTGTAATGTTTATAATGTTAAACCTATATTCTATAATAATTTTCTTAGTTAATTAGTTATTAAATATAATTTATAACATTAAACCATACTTTATAATGATTGTTTTTTCTGTAACCACTTTAACTTTTTTTATGTTATTCATTAATGGTTTACAAAAAGGTGTGATATTTTTTAAAATTAAAAACGAAAAACTGTTATAAAACACTAAGTATCAAGATTAATGTTTTGGTAGTAGTCCACTCTAAAACAAAACAAAATCATACATTTTAAAAGTCGATTGCAATTACATTTCGTAATTAGACCTGTCTGTCGTTGCCGTTGTCATTGCCGTTGCATCAGTGGAACGAATTTTTAGTGTTGGTAGTGCGGTATAATCTAAAAAAAAGACGGAATATTAGTGACAAGAACTAAAATTTAGATTACTTAAATATGATAAATAATTTTATATTGCATTTCAAACAAACAATTTTCATGCAAATGATTTCAATTTTAATTATTGAATTAATAAGGTAAAAGTAGATGAAAATTATTTGGTATTGAGGAACCTTAATTGACTATTAGGGAATAATAGCCAACACCTATATATTAATAGGCCAAGGTTTAAGGGTGTCTAAAATTTATTTTATTTTAAATAAGCGACATAAATCATATGACTAAAATTTAGTTTAAAATAAAAAAAAATACCCAGACAGTTTACATATCATAACTTGAAATTATGATGCGCTATAACGTTTTAGTTTAAAAATAGTCGAATGTTTATAAATTTGTATGGAAAGTTTTTTAAACATAGTTTTATGAATAGGTATACTTTGATAAACTAAAAAAAGTATACAAATCCATTTACCCCAATGGGTAGACATTTTTTACTTTATCTCACTCTATTAGGTGTAGTTTATGGCTTTCAGACCTGAAAATTAGTCTAAATATAATTTAGCGAAGGGGGAGGGGTATAATATATTTAATTTTCTCAAAAACGTGTGGTCTATATTATTTTTTATTAAAGAAATACAAAAAAAAGAGTTATAATAACTCTTGAATCCCTATGATCTCCAACTATCCAAGATGTACCGTTTCCATTATGCAGTGGTTCGAAATCACTGTTTTTTTTTAAATACCAATTTTTTACACGATACTCTCCAACAAAAAAACTAATATTTATGGGGTTTTGGCCAAATATTTCAGATTTTAAACCACTGTGTCGATCCCACTAAGCTGTTTATTAATAAAAAACATTTTGATTGCAATAAGACAATAATAAAATTATAATTACATTAAGACAATTATAAATGTTATAGTCCCACTCTCAACCATATTTTTTAACGAATAAAAAGTTGTTAATTAATTTAACAATTCAATTATAGTATCTTAGCTTCAATTTCAGGAAGAGTAGGTATTGGCTTTATAGTTATGTGTTTTAGCTTTGGGACGGAGCTAAGATGGTATTGGTAATACAACGATGTGTTATACGTTTTGTTTTGTTTTTTTTTTGTGTAGAACACACATTGGGACTTAGTATTAGAGTGAATACATGATTGGTAGATCGGCTGTCAATAACATTATGTTACCGTTGTTTCCCATAAGTCGTAATTGACTACCTGTTGTGTTCACTCTTATAGAGCAACCTAGTAGTATACTATAGTACCTAACCTAACCTAACCTAGTAGTATACTATAATCAAAGTGTATTTTTCTTCTTTTTTGGACTTTCCTTATATCTCCAAAGGATCTATTCAGTCTAATTATCAGTCCTCGAATCTTAACACTAACCTTAAACATGTAAAAAAAGCTATGGTTTCCACATCTTCTAGGAGTAAGGGTTTATGATTTTTTTTTGCCTATTCATAATATGTTAAAAAAAAAATTAACATTCCATAATAATATGGATTAAAAACTTCAAAAAGAAAAATTACAAAATTATAAGTTCCACTAAATCCACATCTTGTTAGGTTGACAAATTATTCCCTTAATCATAAAGAATTTTGAATTCTCTGAAATACTTGTAATTTCTTAATTATTCCGGACTATGAATTGACAGCAAATACTCCATTTGATAACTACAATAGTTGAAATGAGCAGCTATAAGATTGGTTGCTATAAATAAATACTTCCTGAGGGAAGAAAAAAAAAGTTAAAATTTTACAATAACCAATTATTATGTATATACTCACCAAACACGACTATTCTAATTAAAAAAAAGATGACTTGTAGCCACTCAGCAAATGTCACAAAAATTGTTCGCTGTAAATTATGGTGTTCGTTAAAAAAATACAAAAATTAATAATTATTTTAATCATCATTATTTATGGCTATGCTTACCACGAAAGATTATTAAATTTGAAACAGAAGATATGTTGCCAGTCAGCGAAACTTGCAAGAATCGGTTACCATTATTCAAGTTTCCTAAAGTAAGGTAAAACAATTATTATTTTAAAATTATCAGTTATTTTGTTTATACTAACTATAACTACAACTGTCTAAATCCAGGAATAAGAAATGTTGTATTTCAGCAGGACCCCCAAGAATTGACGGCTGTAAATGAGGTTCCTGCAAAAACAAAAAAATAATAACGTATTATTTACGGTCATGAGGATTTTGTCATTATATTAGTCAAAAAATGATAAATTTGAACTTTTACATTATAATTTATAAATCTCATCTTTCGACTTTTAATAGCTGCGTGTATTAACAAAATATCTATAGCTGTTTTAATTATAACTTAAAATAAAAATCTATTAAAAAATTAGCACTGTGTAAACCTGCATATTCTAAACCAATCACAGTCCAAACTAAGCATTGTTTCAACCAAAACTGACTGTCGTCATATTGTCTTTAAATTTTATTCATTTTTTTGAACCGAATGGTATATAAATATAACGGTGGTTTCACCGCACTTCACTAACCTCTTATAATATGATGGATAAGAATTAAAATAATCAAATATTTAAAAAAGTTTAGGCCAAATCTGTTGTAATCCCTGACAATGATAACATTGCTACCAAAATATGCGTATACAATAAAATGCATTTTGTTTTGTAGTTTAGGATTTTTGAAATATTTGATTTTTTCTTAATAACTATAATAACTATAGTTGCTTAGCTGTTTTCTAGATAATAACATAATATTTCTTATTTTCTAAGTCACATTAATGATGTGAATACAAATAAAATGTCTCGATTTTATGTTTTCTTGGGAACTACTAACCACACAAATATATTGAACAAAATTATTTTTACTAATTATTTAATAATAAATGTAAATATTGAAGTAACCATATTCTGCTGATTTGTCCGAATGATATTTATTAATATTGGTCAGGTTAGGTTTACTATCAATCAAACTTAATAATTCTTCGAATTAAAAAAAACGAAAAACTTATTCTAAAAAATATAAATGAAACTACTACCATTGTGTAATCATAATTGCCGAAATAATAATACATTTTATTTTTAATTTTTAACATGGTTCGCATAATTCAACGCATAAAAATAAAAAAATATTTTTAATTAAAAATCAGTTTTAAAATACAAATTAACATATATTATAAACAATTTCTCTTAAAAACCAAAAGTAACTAAAAAAGACTAATAACATTTTATAACAAAAAATAGTAATAATATTGTTTACCATATTGCATGTGTAGTTTATGAAAATTAAAAAATACATTATAAAAATGTAAAAACTAAACAATTCATGTGACCGTCGAAAAATTAAATGGAAAAATAACACTTATGTTATTGATTTGTTAAACGATAGTAATAAATAAAAAATTATAAGACAATTAATAAAAATATATTAAATCTGAATTAAACCATTAGTAAAAAAAATGATAAAATAATAACAAATAGATTTTAAAAAACTATTTTTAAAACTGCCAAACAGTCACGTGAGGTGTATGAAACTATGAGCCGTGTGCTTTTGCTTGGTGACTTTTCAGAGTATCTTGGCGACCATATGATTAATTTCCACACACTTCGATTTAAGTACATGTTTGTTCATTTTAGTCAAGAATAAAATGTCAATTTATATGAGTACATATGTTTCTACCAACTAACAAAAATATTAAATACATACATATGTATTCTGTTGGTGATTCTTGTACAACCTGGAGTTACTTAATTTAACAGTACAATTTAACTACCAAATTATATAACATGTTGAACACTGGTTTATAAAGTATAAAACACATTGGTTTCACTAAATGCGGTTGTGCAAGAATATTTGTATATTATATTATTCTAAGTTAAACTTTTTAAAGACTATGTTGATTTTCTACTCATATACGATTAAATAGAAATATTATATGTTGTAAAAATTTTGTAATTTTTATTTTTATTTGAAAACATAAAAATCTAACAAAAGATAGTATTTTTAAATTCCACAGTTATTAAAGTGAATTATGAACATAGGTATTTTAATAAAGAATTGAAACTATATTACCTACTTATTATTTTAAATCTATAATTAACTCAACAAAAAAATAAACACAATTTACAAGTAACACAATAAATTATTATTCTTTAATTTAATCTTTCCATAAACATGATTCGTTGCATAAAAATTAATTAATATTTTTAATTAAAATTCAATTTTAAAATACAAATTTACATGTATTATAAACAATTTCTCCTCAAAGCCAACAGAATGACAGAATGTTTTTACACAGACATTACGTCGCCGGTATGTGTTCTTTCGTGAGTTTTGAGGTAAGATTGTATATTAAAACTTTGTTTACAGACATCGCATTTATCATAGTATCATTCTGCATAGATATACATAAAATTGTTTTAATGATTTGATACATTTTTTTTAAGATTTTAGAGGTTTTTGTTAATATGTACGCAATCTGCGAAAACATAGTTTTCCGGAAATTAAAGAAAAACTGTAGTGCCGAATTTGTTTTTCGTTTAATATGTTATGGATACATATGAGTTCAAACAACTGGCAAATTTTCAACTTAAAGGAATTAAAATTACGGCTAAAAACCCCAAAAAACTTGTACCCCCCTCCCCCTAGGGAGATGGATGGGAAATGGGTATAATTTAAATTTGATACAACTGACGTGTGAGGGCATACCAAATAAATATTCCTAACAAATTTCAACTCGATCCGACTCTTTTTCTCGAAATTATAGCCAGTAAATTTCTAACTTAAAAACTCGTACGGTTTTTTTTGTTTTTTCAAATTTCGACTGTGTAGAAGTAAAATTTTTCGACTTTTACCTCCCCAGAGTACCAACTAGATTAAATTTGTGATTTATAGAGTTGCTACTCGAAGGAATTGGTCCAGTATTAAAAAAACCAGTACAGTGGGGTCGGTGCATAGTGGGGACGGAGCATAGTTGGGTCGGGGCATAGTGGTGACGGGGAGGTCACAGGTTTACAGGAATTTTTAAATCTGAAAGTGATAAAATCACTTTCGAAAAAACGCTTCGATGCAAATCGGTAGTTAGTATTTTCATGCCAGTACAGTCCAAACCAAGCACAGTATAAACCAGCAAAGTTAGAAAGTTTTAAATGAAGGTTCTGTATTTACAAATGAGCATCAAAGCGTTTATTTGAAAGTGATTTTATCCGAGAGGACTAGTACAGTAGAGTATTGGCATAATGTAATCAAAGCAATGAGGAAACGGAGAGGTCACAGGTCTACAAGAATTATTATAAATAAAAGTGATAAAATTGAACAAAATCGCTTTCAAATAAACGCTTTGATGTTCATTTGTAAATACAGAACCTTAATTTAAAACTTTCTAACTTTGCTGGTTTATACTGTGCTTGGTTTGGACTGTACTGGCTTGAAAATACTAACTACCGATTTGCATCGAAGCGTTTTTTCGAAAGTGATTTTATCACTTTCAGATTTAAAAAATCCTGTAAACCTGTGACCTCCCCGTCACCACTATGCCCCGACCCAACTATGCTCCGTCCCCACTATGCACCGACCCCACTGTACTGGTTTTTTTTTTTTTTGCAAAAACTTAGTGGACCAAATAACACATATACAATGTCTTGTTATATTTTGTTGGAATGGTCGACGATTCATGTTTCAATCGTTTGTACTCCATAGTTTAAATTATAACCGCTTATTCTCAATAAAATTAATATTTATGTATTATATACTTCCATTAAAGCAATCTCACACAAACTATTTATACTTCACAGATTATATTATTTCAAAGCTATATTATACTTCTATTTTATTAGATTGACAATGTACAAAATAAAATGCAACTAAAAAAACCTTTTCATAGATCCTTAAAATGTAAAGGGTGGGTTAGTGAAACGGGTTTTACCATTTAAATACATTAGAAAATCGCCGTTTTACTGCCTCATCCTGTATATTAATTTCTTGTTATTTTCTAAAGAAAAATCGATTTTCTTACATTTAAATTAAAATAAATCGTATACTGGTACTGTGATAGAGAAAACAATAAATTTTACCTACATTTATTACTTATTAGTTGAATATTACTAACGTGTATAGCCACTAGCAGTCGGCTGTTGCCTGTTATTTAACAATAACCTTTTATGGAGATTTTAAAAATTGTGTTTTTTTAATAATAGCATAGGAGCAGTATCATGATGTTAAATGTTCACGAGATTTGATCTAGTCATAAAATAAAGTATTATCATTTATGACTTAATTATTATTCAAATTTATCTTAATAGTAATAGTACATAGTAATAAAATAATGAAATATTTTTTACAAAATAAGAGCTACAAGTTGATAAACTAAAAAAATAAAATTAGCACGAAGCAGATTATCTAATATTAGACAATTTAAACAATCAATTAAATGAATAACAGTATAACAATATACAAAACATTAGTTTTTCTTTAAAAAAATTGTGTAATAAAGAAAACATTTTGAGTCGGTATATTGCATAAAAACCAACACATAATTTGAATGCAGACAAATAATAGTCCTCTTCATTATTTGCAGGTATTTGGACATTAAATACTCATAGTTAACCTTCGGTAAGGTTATATAACGCAGGCTATAAAATAACGAGATAACGACAGTGGTTTTGTCGTATCAGAATCATTAAGTGTCTCAATAAGTACACGGACAGGTTTTTTTCCCAATAAATGGAGTGTCTACTATAATCAGTTACACGATTTAGTCGTCTGTGATATCATGTAATAAACACAATATTATGATACCGATCATTGGGCCCTAAACTAATCTAACACGGATAGACGTTACCAACTGATAGTTTTAAGTGTTCGTTCGTTTCTCACATCTGGTACACTGGGTTTTTAGTTAAAAAAAAAAAAAAAAAAAAATTGAATTTGTGTAAACTTTAAGTCAAAAGTGGTACTTGAGCACAAAACCTAATGGTATCATTCTGCATAGATATACATAAAATTGTTTTAATGATTTGATCAATTTTTTTTAAAGATTTTAGGCGTTTTTGTTAAAATATACGCAATCTGCGAAAACACAGTTTTCCGGCAATTAAAAAAAAACTGTAGTGCCGAATTTTTCACCCGCTTAATATGTTATGGATACATATGAGTTCCAACTACTGGCAAATTTTCAACCCAAAAGTTTTAAAATTACGGCTAAAAACCCGAAAAACAAAAAACTTGTACCCCCCTCTAGGGGGGCGGGAAATGGGTATATTTTAAATTTGACAAAACTGACGTGCGCGGGCATACCAAATAAATATTTCTTATACATTTCAACTCGATCCGACTCTTTTTCTCGATACTATAGCCAGTAAAAGTTCTAACTTAAAAACTCGTACGGTTTTTTTTTTTTTTTTTCAACTTTTGTCTGTGAAGACTTAAACTTTTTCAACTTTTACCCCCCCAAAGTACAAACTAGACAAAATTTGTGATTTATAGAGTTGCTATTCAAAGGAATTGGTCTAGTATTAAAAAAGTTACAGTGTATACAGCGAAAAAAAATTGCCCACATCAGAGTAAAACCAATAACTTCTCGCTTTGCATCGAAGCTAAAAAGTTACAGTGCATACAGATAAAAAAAAAAACACATCATACCTTCGCAGCTTTGTATCGAAGCTAAAAGCTGCATAAAAAGCAAATTCCAATAGTTTTGTTATTGTTATACATTATAATAAAATATTATTCAAGGTTCTTTTGGCGTTACGTTTTATACATGCACGGTTATTCTATTGACCAGAGTCCTTATAATATACGTTTTATACTGTACCTAATATTACGCTGCAACCTTGTGTTCAGTTTTAAAACATTTTGTAATGCTGTATGACGAATGAGTACGGTGTAAAGAAATAATATGTCATTTGATGAATTTTATCGTAAATTGTTAAAACATAAAAAAAAAAAAAATTGTTCAACGTTTAATGCGCGTATGACGTCGTCTCGTACCGTACTGCATGCAAGGCCATCCGCCATGGTGAAGTAAAAACGGTAGCGTGCGTTTCGCCGTAATAAATCAATAATAACGCTCGGTAACAGCTGAGGGAGTCCAATATGCATTGTTGCTATTGCAACACCCTCGCCGCCACCACAACCCCCAAAACGTCACGTAGCATTTTATACCATCGCCGCACATAAAAAAAAACATTACACTCATAAAACGTTATGGATTTGTATTAAACAAAAACGTTTGTAATTTAATAATAAATTAAGTTAGATTTTGTGTGATACATTATATTAATAAACATTGAGTATATTAAATTTGTTTTTATTATAATACTCATTCTATCAAATACTAGTTAACTCAATGTTAAATTTATATGTATTTAATAATTTTATATTACGTATTAGGTAATATTGGCTGAGGGTGAACCGTGAAGTGGTGTGACGCCACTGTTCGGACTGTCTCTTGGTTTTAGGCGTATAGTGTGCAACCCAAGTTTCATCTCCAGTAGAAATACACTTGAGAAAATCATCACCCTTCAGTTCATAGCGTTCCAAAAACTCTTTGGAGGTCTGCACTCGATTTCACGGATTTGGCGCGGATTCTCCACTTGGCGGAAGACTCGATCGACATGTTTCACGAGAAAAATTCCTGTGACCACAGTTTTTGACGTACTGAACTCGTTCTGGTCTTGTTTTGAAGGGGAAAAAATAAGCTTAACTGCATTGTGGCCAACATAGCAAAAAAAATTTTCTACGGCCTTGGGGGAGGGGGGGCTTGTATTGGGTTGTATCTTTACTCTCCGGACGTCCTTGGTGCGATATCTTATCTATAGACGTTATTCAATGATAACCAATTATAAAGATGAAAGCATTATTTTTTTCTACCCTTTCAGTATGATTTTTTTCTTACTTGTCTGTCTATCTGTTTATCGTATCTGGGTAATAATATTTATTGACACAAAACTAATTTAGTTTGTGTCGTGCTTCAGTCGGCTTATGTATTATTATGTAGTATGTATTTACGTGCGTCAGGCGTGTAATATTTTATACCTAACCTAACCAGTTTAAGAGCAAAAAAAGTCTCAGAGTCATGATTTAATTTATTTATACTAAAAAGCCTCAAGCTCAAATAGAGCAGCTCGGATAAATGTATTTAAATATACAATTATATAGATGATTCTCTGAAACCAAGGAATTTTGACATAATTGTTTCACTTAAAGAAAAGTCAATTTTTTTACAATATTTTTTTTGTTTCTGATTAAGCCATGAGATTCACATAAAGACCTTTAATGTTCCTTCATAGAAATTCTTAGTTAAGCAGAAAATTTGAATTAAACAAATTGTCATTGTGAGGGACTGAACGGCAGTGTGAAGGACTGAGGAAATTATTCAAACAAACGAACAAATTTGTTTAATTAACAAACATAATGCATAACAACATAATACTGTTATTGACAAATAGTAAGTTATTAGTTATCACAATTTTAATTTGTATTCTACCAAAACTCTGAACAAGACCGAGTACCGCGCGATGATGAGTGAAAAAAAACGCAGCCTTGAACTTTCACTTAATAATATAACACGATTTAGGAAAATATAAAATTAAATAATTCCAGTAACCATGTCTATCAGTGTGCTCATTTTACAAATATTCAATGATGTACGGTAATTTAGAGTTCATCCTCATTATGGTTCCTAGCAAACTGGTTTAGGTTAGGTCGGAGGAAATGGCATGTATACCACTATCGATCCGGTATTCGTCAATTCCGCCCATTTTGGGCAACTACCTACTATATTGTATACATCTATTGCGCCGGTGGAATTAAGGTGGTATACTAAAAAAATATAAATCAACAGCGCCGGGGTTATATTATAGATTAAATGTAATATAGATAAACAACGCGTATGGAACAGCTGGAAGCTCTTTTTTAGTTAGTTTTTCTGTCAATAAGGCTCAGAATGGATTTCAAACATATGCTTTTTTGTGGATCACATATAATTTATTCTGGTTTGAGCTATGCCACACGTTTCCACCACTCTTCCCAACATTGATCGCTCCCAGTGTCCTAAATCTACACTAAAATATTTGTGTTATATGCGTTTCCCATCATAACATGGACATTGTTTATCTATAGTACATTTAATGTATAGTTATATACATCAACTGCGCCAGAGTTTGTTTTTTTACTTGTGATTTTTAATTTAAGTTTTCAACGCTATTCATTCGTATGTATGATTTAAGTTAAATTTTACTTAAGGCGTTAAGCCTGTGATCGCCTTCTAGACTTTAGCCAGTAAACCTAGGATTCTTTTAGTTTAGCGTAGCGAGCGAAGCCATCGAGTTACAAAACACTCGGTGGCCGGCCGTACGATAGTAGATATCAAAATATGGGCGCATACTAGTTGCATCTGGGAAACTACGAATTGCATCCGATCCTTATCGTAACTAAAAAGGTCAATCTACAGTAGTTGCCTCTCAGGCTTAGTATATATAAATATGAGTTGCATCCGAAAAAAATTATTATTAGTTGCATCCCGCTAAAGAAACAGGGGTTCTAAAACAACGCTAAAATTTTATTGAACTTTTCTAATAAAACTGACATTATCGTTAAAAAGTACTACTATCTACGTTATTTTCCATTAATTCCGCGTGTAATACTTTTGCCGGTCTTTCGCACGATGTAATTTTTACTGGTTTTCCTTTTTCATTAATCATTTCATCAATTTCATGTTCCATTTTAGCAAATAATAAAAAATTATAAAAGCACTCGACGCGTTCACTCACAGTTTTCTACTCGACGATTGCAACGATAACACAATTTTTATCATTAACTTAAGCTTAAACCTAAGCTAACATGCATTTTTAAGGTACAAAAACTAAGTTGGCATTCTCAATACAGCTCTTTTAAAAACTGTCTTGCAGGAACGTTACAAGCTAAAATATGTTTAAACGCTTATTTTTTTTTAAAGTTTTAACATAAAAGACATCGTTTCGGCGCAGTTGAAATATACTCTATCGATCGATACCCCGTTGTACCACAACTCACACAGTGACATTTCTAAATAGGGGAGGTGTTTTTGCAGGACCCTGTATAATAATGTTCCTTTGTGATGACGTCACCTGTGTGTATGCACAAAGTAAACACACCAACATAAAACCACGTGAACTGTGCATGCAGCATGCACAATGGTCATCCAGAAGCGACGTTTTTCAATGTACTTTATATTAAAAATAGAAACAACTGAAGGTCTGAATATTAAACTGAAGATAAATCTAGAGTCGGACTAAAACATATACGTTTTTTTTTTAAATCTGTAGTCAAAGTTTTTTTTATATTAAGGAAAAACCAAAAATAGAGAAGATAATAAACTTTGACTGTTGTAAATTTCTAGGTCACTAATGTCTATGAATCAACTATGTCTGAATGAATCAACAGTTGACAAATATTTGAAAATATTTTCATTATATTATTACGATATAAGTAACAATGGAAACAAATTATTATAGACAGGCGTTGTCTCATCACCGTAATCGGTCCAGAAAAAAACTATAAAACACTAGCACATAAAAAATATAAAATTATGTGAGATTTACTTACCATTTACTTTTAACAGAACCGCTGATAATTGATGATTCAAAATTTGCTCGTTGTCGACCAAATTATAAAGCACTCTAGTAGACATAATTTCGAAATTTTCGCGGCTAACAGACTGCCTAACCGGGGTATGCGTGCGGCTCGGTTAACATTTAATAACAGACTGTCGGGCACTGCCCTGGGAGACTGCAGCCAAGACCCAAGGGAAGGGTCAAGGTGGTGTTAAATTTCATAATAGGGCTCACCCCTTCCGGTTTTTGTTATCGCGTGGCAACCTTTCGTCCTCATCCTATTCCGTAAGACTACCGAATCGGTGTACGCGTGGTGTTTAAACAAAACATTTAAAAAAAAAACTCTCAAAGGGCTAATATAAGGGTTAACGCAACCTCAGATGATAGGACTGGATCAAAAGACTGACAACATTTTAAAATAATATCAACTCAACATAAGTAATAACACATTCTATTAAAACTTATTACATATATTTGAATTTTTTTTCAAATTTTTATCTACTACCTGGTGAATTATAAATTAAAAACAGCTTCCTTAGTGCAGAGTAAACGTTCTTAACTGGCTTTAACTGTTTGTATTTTTTTATCTTAGATATTTTTTGAGCTATACTACTGGATATTCATAGAAATTTTTTTTTATTAAATTGTAAAACACGTTCGGCATAAAAAAAAAATCGAACAATATTTTGGAGTACAGCTCGGTCATAGTTCCCTTATATAAAATAGTTCCCTTATATATGGTTTCCTTTTATAAAAGTAATAAAATTGTAACTATTTAGTTAATATACTTAATCTGACAACTTTCCAAGAACTTACAGCAGTTTAAAGTTAAATTTGGAACAGTTAAAATTGTTTTTATAATTTTCAAAAGGAAGTAGTAACTTTGTAGTTATTTATTTGTTATGAATATATACACAATTACATAATATTTTAAACACGTAGCAGTCTTAACTTATAGCCCCTACTAATAGTACAAAAAAGGAAGTTCCCACGAAAACGATGTATTAGTATTCTAACGTCCGAGTTCGGTCTCTCCTGAAATAGCCATTCCGGGTTCACGTTGAAGAAATCTCTTATTCGCGTAGATGGCTGTCAAACGCCGAACATAGAAACCGCCTGGAGTGCACAAGCGGAAACCACTTCTCAAAGTACATTTATATACATTGATAGTATAGCTGTGGTCGATAGGGATAAAACCAAGTTGTATACAATAATACGAAAATGAAATACTTTTTTATGAAGAAAATATGTAATTTTCACTGATATAATTCAGTAATAGCTTTTCCATTGTTGACAATTGAAATTGAAATAAACTGTCATCATAGTAAAAGTTTAAAACTCTTTCAGTTCACGCGCGTCGTTCATCGAAACCGGTTGTCCG